GAGCAAATTGACCTTTTGTTATATCAAAAATATCCCTAGACTTAAACAAAAAAAAAATCCCGAGACCTCTAAACTAATACAAATAAAATGTCTATATATATTTTAAACTAAACATGGTCGGAACTTACCTGTTTAAAAAAACAAAAAAAAAGCGGTTAGCTACGTTTGCGTTTGGGGGTTAATTTGCTGTTGGTTCTCTTTATCGGACCGGTTGGTTTTGATTGACAGGGACTGGGAATAACGGTGTTTGGAATCGCCTACATGTTCGTCCACGATGGACTCGTGCACAAGAGATTCCCTGTGGGTCCCATTGCCAACGTCCCTTACCTCCGAAAGGTCGCCGCCGCTCACCAGGTTTAATTAAATACCATAATAAACTAATCAACGTTCTTAGTAGTTACTAACTGTTAGTATTAATTCGATAATTAATTACTATCCATTTACAATATTTATCTATTGACTACTGATGATGATGATATGGTTTTTCAGCTACACCACACAAACAAATTCAAGGGTGTACCATATGGTCTGTTTCTTGGACCCAAGGCAAGAATAATCTAAAACCCACTTTTTCTAATAAATAAATAAAAACTATTACAAAAATAAGAAACATACTACGAGTGATCTTAATTAATTACATGTTAATTTTTGTTACACACGTGAATTGGTTTTTGTTTGTTTGCATGGTGCAGGAAGTGGAAGAAATGGGTGGAAAAGAAGAGTTGGAGAAAGAGATAAACCTAAGAATCAAACTATACAACAAGGGTTCCACCTCTTAATTGCTACCAAATCCAATTTCACATTTTTCCTTTGAAATTTCTGGTATGACTAATAATTTTTTTTTTTAGTAAATAAAAAAAAATGAAGTAGAAGAGGAATCAGGCTAAGTTAGCCTTTCGAGTTACGTATATGAATATTGTATGCAGGCGCATGAGATGTGTGTCATATCAATTTTGAGTTACCAAACATGTTTCATGTTTGTTACTTCGAAGCCTTTCTACGATTTTATGATCATGGCTAGAACGATCTCTAATCGCTTGATAATATGATCTATAAACCCGAGTCATACATCTTTGATAATATGATCTATAAAATCGACCAATTTTGCAAGTTTCTGACTCTTTGTCTAGTTGTGTAGTTTTTATTTATGTGATTTGAGTTTTAGAAAGTTTTAATACTTGTAAGTTGTAAGTAACAATAAATATTTAATACTTGTTAGTAATATCCATGGGAAAACTAGTAACTTACAGTATATGTATAAACTGAAAAGTGAAAAACAGTGATTATAATCATTTCTAAACGAAATGATTAAAAAAATAGTATGATGTCGCGTTGAAGCATTATAAGGGATCCCATTATAAGATAATGACATGAAAAATGGGGTAAAAGTTTACGATATTTTTCTTTGCCATTCTAAGAACAATCTGTTAAATTACATAATTTGGAAGTTCGGTAGGCTTTTAGTAAGTGGTACCTCAAAACCTTTTTTCTTTTGCCAACAATTAGACCT